TGCAACTATCTAATCTCATACGTATTAGTCTTAATATGTTATGACGCCCGTATTATCGTAATATTCGACTAAAAATATTTTAGATCTAGTCTCTATATTTGTAACAATCCCATAATCAGAGCATCATAGTTCTTTACTATGTCACTAAAGCACTAATCTATGGACTAAAGCTATGCTTAAAGTATACGAGATAATTTAAACAGTCTTCAGAGCCTTTATTCTTGAAATAATCCAGATACAGATCATAAGTTGGCCTCTAGGGATTACATATATTCAACACATGAGGTTCATAATAATCATCCCCATCGGTCTCTTAGTATGGATAATATCCAAAGCCGTGAGACAGGATGTCATATGGTGGTTCCTCATGGTAGGGATAGTAGTCAGACCTATTATTCACTTGGTAGTCATCATCATATGGATTCTGATGTGTGGGATAAGGAATGATGGGTAATAACCCATTGATACCGCCCGGTTGGTTCGCACGTCCGGGTGGTCATAAAAGTGACAGCGCGTACCCTTCCCAACCCGGGTTGTTTGCCCGGTTGGAGGGGTTGGCCGGAGCCAACCACTGAAGATCTATTCTTGAAGTTGTTGGAGTTGTGCCCTGATGGCCAACTGTTTATCGTTATTCTATCATGTATAGGCAGATATAATATGTTTACACATCTCATGCTAATGTAAACAAATATTATATTCCTAGATTTATATTTAAAAGATGTTTATCAGATAGTGTTCTTCTGCTGATGAGACTAACATCTTGAAATAAATATTTATCTAAATGTCCATAGTCGAGTATTAACGAGAGTGGGATATCGTTAATGCATGTGAGACTAGTGTGTGTTGGATGTTTGACTTAGTCTCATAGTCAATGACGGTGTGTTCGCATCCGCACATGGGCAGATATTATCTAGAGATAATAGGATGCCACACTGACCCATCCTAAAGATGTTGCTTGAACTTTTAGCTCATGCTCTAAGCATCTTTAGCGCGACCACGGGTGTAACTATCCTTCGACTTGAAGTATTACGTTTTCTGCATACGTGAACCCGCATGCTTTGATGCATTGTCCTAAGCCATATGAAATAAGGATGGTATACAGGCTTTGTTTTGGGTATGCCGCAGCGCGTATTCAGAAACGTAGATTACGTACATAGGATTTGTCACTACTCTTTTTAA